AGGATGCAGTAAAAAATAGCGGGATGGTGCAAAGTTCTGCCTGCTTTTATGTGCATCACATATTGCCCACACCCTGTGGACATCCCTATCTGGGCCTCGCCTGCAAGAAGCCCCAACACCCCCTGGAGACAGGTGCCAAGGTGGGAGCCACTGCCTTGGTCATCTGGCCAGGCAGGCCTTCAGGGATGACAAAGAACGCCTGCTGTACCTTTCATTTTTGGGTGGCTTCAAGTCAGTCTTGGCTGCCTGAGGAGGTCCCTGCAGTTTTCTGGCAAGATTTCTGAAGCGGTTTGCCCTTGCCTGCTTCCTAGGGCTGAGAGGGTATGACTGGCCCAGGGCCACCCAGCTGGCTTCGTGTCTAAGGCAGGGCTGGAATTCACAGTCTCCTGGTTTCTAACCCAGTGCCTTAACCACTACACCAAACTTAAATACTTAAAAAAGGAGTATTTGTAGCCAATTTGACAACTCTGATGCGCAATTTAACCCTATCATATTAGATGAAGTCCATTTTCCTGTAAATATTAATAAAATGAAATATTCATCCACGGTCACACATCAAGGTCACTGCAGCCAGGATTTCAAGTACGGGTGAGCTTTTGGAGCAAAATGCTCATGTTCTGAAATCGGGGATCATTCTTCATCCTCACAGTCCTTGCAAGGAAGGTCCTCCAGGTCAGGGGTGTCCAAAGGGTGCAGCTTCCAGGAGGTTGATGTTCCATCAAGACACAATTAGTTTGCTTTCCGTTAAGAACAGGCACATCTCCAGCCTTCTATAGACTCTAAGACAGAAGGCAAAGTGCATATTCACCATTTCACCTTTTGGCCTTGGGAGAAGGGCCTCTGCTCCTGCTCTGCAGTGAATCTAGTCGTGGCCATGATTGGCAAACACCCTGTTTAAAGAAGAAGATCCTGATTCATTTTTCTACATAAAGATCTTTCCTAGTAGGCAATTATTTACTAACTGCATGTATTACTAAAAGATAGGAGCAAAGAGGAACTCCTTATGTGTCTAAGTTCTTACTTTCTAAAACAGAGAACGTCCGTAAGCATTTTTTAAAGAAACATCCTGCTGATACAAGTGGTTAAGCCAACTCATTTGTTTCTATTGCTTTCCAAAAAGTGGGTTTGGACTGAGTGACCGAGTCCTGCGGTGCCCATTTTGTTTAGAAGTGGGGCAAAGTGAGAGGGTAATGGGACAGCTGTCCAGCGTCATCGTGCTCTCGGGCGTTATTCCTTCTTGTTGGCCTGGACCTTCTTGTTCCAGAATGGCTGGACATTCTGATTTCGGGTTTTGTTTGCTTTGGGCTTAACACCATGGGTGAATGCAGTCATTAGGGCTTTTAAGCCACAGCTTATGGCTTAGCTTGATGTAGGAACCAAGCCATTACAGCTTGTTTAGCACAGCATGCAAAAACAGATATTTCCTCCAGGTTTTGCCTGCAATAGTAGAAAAACATTTTTGGCTCTCAGCAACCCCAGGAGGGCTATTGAGACATCCGCCAACTTCCTCCAGCCTCTTGTGGCATCCTCACTGGGGTTGGAGGCAGCTCGGCTCTGGATTCCTGTCCCTCGTTCGTGCAGAAGCACTTCCTGGGCGAGGGCTTTCTTGCCACCAGACCCTGCCGGCCCCGTGAGTCAGGGACCTGAGAGTCCCACGCCGGGCCAGCTGCCTCGGACTGCGTGGCCCGGCTGAACAAAATCGAAAGGTCGCAAGCAAGTCTTGCTCGCGTCTGTGAAATGTATTTTCTCTCTGGGACCACGAGGGGGTGCTACACCCCCACAATCGGGTTCCTCTGGTCCCCCGGGAGAAGCCTCCCTCTCTCCGCTCTCGCGGCCTTGGAGGCTGCATTTCAGGGAAGAAAAATGAGCAGGGCCCTGTCAAACCAGCACCTGCACAGCTGCCGCCGGGCATCCTCCCAGGCATGGGCAGCGACGGCGGCTGGGCAATGCAGGGGAGGAGCCCTGGAGGAGAGCGACGGGCTGCCCGGAGTGCAGGAGAAAGAGCTCCCTCCTTCCCCAGCTGGGGACAGGAATTCCCACGGGTCGGACTGCAACCCTCTCAGCACTGATGCCAGGATGCCCCCGGGCTGACTGCAGCCTGCTTCCGTGGGCCTTTTGCCCACCGCCTCTGGCCCGGCTGCCCGTAACACGCGCCGTGGCAGGTGGCAGGACGTGGTGGGGCACTTGGGTGAACTGCAAGACCAGCCAGCCTTTCCTGGCTGCGGGGTCGGAGGTTCAGTCTTAGCAGTGGGTTTGCCAAAGGAAAATAAGTGGAACAAGTGAGGAGGCGCAGCATTTCCGTGCACCCCCCAGGCAAGGGAGGGACGGAAGCAGAACAAGGAGGCCAGGAGGCAGTTGAGAGGTGCCAGTTGCCACCTCTTGGGGCTGGTTGTCTGAGGGACCGTCTGTCTCCAGTGGTTTCTGCGATAAAGCAAGGCCATCTTGCAGGACTAGGAGGCTGGCCTTCTCTGCCGTGAAACCTATCTCTGGAGCAGCATTTGCGAGGCCCCGCCATGCCGGCCTTTAAGAAAGCATTAAACGCATGGCGCTTCCCCTGGGCCTTGGGTTTTATTGCTGCTGGTGGGGGCCAGAGCTGGCGGTGGTTGCCTCTGGATGAGGTTATCTTTTGGGACTGCTTGTATGTGTTAAGTCACATGGGGTTGGGCGGCCTAGAAAGTTGATTGTTAAACAACCAGTCAATCCAAGGTATGTAAAGAGATAGTTGGGGAACATCTGGCTATCAGGAACAAAGGTAAGTCTCCAGGACCAGATCAGTTACATCCCAGAGACTTGAAGGAGCTTGGAAACAGCATATTTGGGAAATCATGGAGGATGACCATGCTATCCTAAAAGACTGGAGAAGGGCAACTGTTGGGAGGAAAAGGAGGACTTGGACAAAACTCTGGAAAAGTCTATGAAGTAGTTGGTTCATGAGCATCTGTCAAGAACAGGGGAGACCAAGCAGCCTGATCTTTTTTTGACAGACTGACCAATTTGATTGACCAGGGAATGTGGTGGACTTAGTGTACCTTGACTTTTGTAAAGTATTTGACAAAGTCTCCAATGTCCACCTACTAGAGATGATGGCAAAATGTGGGCTGGACTGCCTCACCACCTCATAGATTCAGTGTTGCTTGAAGAGTGGGAGTACCTCAGTGACTCTGCATTAAGCTGGGAGAAGAACTGAGTTGGGCTTTGCATTGTAGGTCTTGTGCTGTTCAACCTATTCATAACTGATTCAGAATATTAAGTTTGTGGACATAAAGAGAGAAAGCAATAGCAAACTTGCTAGATGACAGTATCGGGATTCAAGAGGCTCCTGACAGCTGAAATAATAGATTTCTGCGTTGGACAGGTGGTTGGACTAGTTCCCCATGGTCACTTTCAAAGCAGACATTGTATAATTCTATGAAATGGTTTTGTTCATTTATGGCTGCTTTAATTGAGCACTGCAGTTGCACATTTATAGTTATTTCCTACCGATAGATGTTCAGTGATTTATTAACTTATTGTATTAATTTGATGACATTAATGACTGCTTATGCTATTTCAATATATTGTTGCAGGAAATGGACCAAGCCTTGGAAAGGCTGTGTTCAGGCAGCCCCCCAAATTCTGCCAAGGGAAAGGTTAACTGGCCTGTTTCCCAGGGTGTGGCTGTTCCTGTTCCTGCTGGGAGGGGGGCATGGAGTTGTTTCTGATCACTGCCTGTTTATGGAGTCCACCAGCACCTTGGCAGCGAGGAGGGCTTAGAACCTCAGCCAGGAGCCAGACACCCTAACCCTAACCTGGCTGGTTGAAGGCTGAGAGTGCCACAGGCTGACTTCTCACCCCCATGCTTAGGCCACCCTACCCATGATATGGCGGTTTGGGAGACTAGCATACAGAAAACCCAGCCTTCATTAGTCACCTTCAGTGGTTGTTGCCAACCCATGGACTAATTTGGAGGTCTGATGATGAATATTTCATGAACTTTTCCAACCAACATTCTATAATTATTTTTCTGAGGACAACATGACTCAGTGATGGTTTCATGGATCTGTTTTCTCTCCTTTTTCATTTTTTTGGCAGTTACTTCTTCTTTCGATAGTTGTGTGGAATATTGTTCCAGTCTAATAGATAACATAGTTCCAATTCCAAGTCCTTTCTCACATTTCCCATTCAGATGTCCGTTTTGACCCATAAAGCCATAAATGGCTGCGGGTCATGATATCTGAAAGGTTACCTCCTCCCACACTGTATTACTTCATTCTTCAGCAGAGACTCTATTTAATGTGGCTGCATTGAGTTACACAAGACAAGGCCTTTCTGTAGTAATGCCTTAAGTATGAAACTACTTCCCAAGGAGGCCAATCAGCTCTCTTCTAAATTTTAGACATTCAGGAAAATGTGAAGATGGTTTCCTTAGGACTTTGACATACTTTTTTTTTTTTTTTATGCCTCCAAGTCAGTGTGGACTCCTAGCAACTGCCTGGACAAGTCCCTGCAGTTTTCTTTGCAAGGTTTTTCAGAAGTGTTTGCCCTGGCCTTCTTCTTCCTGGGGCTTCCTGGCCCAAGGTCACCCCACTGGCTTCATGCCGAAGGCAGGACTAGAACTCAGAGTTTCCTGGTTTCTAACCTGGTGCCTTTAACCACACCACCAATCTGATTCCTTGTTTGGTGCCTTCAAGTCAGTCTTGACTCCTTGACTACATGGACAAGTCCATGAAGTTTTCTTGGCAACATTTTTTGCCCTGGCCTCCTTCTTCCTGAGAGAGAGGGACTGGACCCAGGTCCCCCAGCTGGTTTTCATGCTTTAGGTGGGACTGGAACTCACTTGCCTGGTGCTTTAACCATTAAACCAAACTGGCTCTCTTGGTAAACATGGGACTATTTTCCATGTGTATGATGACATGAACCATGATCTGTAAGGATATATATATCATAATAAATGGATAAGTCTTTGTTGATACGAAAGAGGCTCTTTTTGCTGCTAAAGATTAACACAACTCTAATCCATATTCAACCATTTATTTATTTAATCAATCAATTGATCAGTCAACCGATCAATCACAGCCACTACCTCCCAGGCACCCAGGGTGATCTGTATACAAATTGGGACTTAGAAAAATCATGAAAAGTAGGAGCAGAAAATATACAGCAAACTTCAAAAGCAGCATGACTAAAAAGGAACAAGATTTTACAAGCATTTCTGTACCTCCTCAACAAAGGTCCTTTTTTCAAAACATGAGAAAATGCCTTCTGCATGGCCCATTTCCTAAGGCAGATGTTCATTTAACACCCTGTGTTGCTGTGAAATTTCCACCAATACGGAATGTGCTTCTTTTTCGGGTACTGTGGTCACCTTGGTGAAGGAAACACACTTTGTCCTCCAGTACCAGTTCAGTGTGGATGCACAGAATACAGCCTTTACTTGTCCACAACAGTGTCACAAAGCTGCAGCTGATTGGCAATCTAGTGCTACAACATCATGTTCCATTTATGTAGCCCAGGAACTACTGCTACATGAGAATACTTAAGGAGAGAGCCAAAATAAAAGTTAATTTTCAAAAATGGCAAAAAATGTGGGGATTCCCACATCTGTAAAATTGTTCTTCCCTTGTATTTTGCAATATTTCAGATGAGAACATCATCATCATTATTATTATTATTATTATTTTATTTTGGAGATCCATATGTGCCATTACCTATCATGGTCTCAACGGGCATAGTGTTGCCAACATTGCTTTTCATGGTGATCCTTAGAATCTTTTGATGGTGATATTGTAGTCTGTGAAATGGAAAGGATTGGAAAAAGCTGCACTACACAATTCTTGACTGGCTGGGTTTTGTAGTGAAGAAACTGCATTAAAGTTGTCAAGAGACTTTCTTTGGAAATCAAAGCACTGACTAAATTTGAAATAAATGGGTGTAAAAACATTGGGCCATCTACTAGGTAATATGTAGGTGAACGCAGGGACAATATTTTAACAATCTGAGGTACAAAATACACAGAGTTCATATTCTTTCTCCTACTAAAGTTCTAAAATTTAAATAAAAAGCCTCTACATTTTAGGGTTTTAAAAATAAAAAAATAAAAAAAGATTACTAAAAATTCAGAATCCCAAAACTGGAAAAATTTTACTTGAATTTTAAACATCAAGCTAGTATACAAAAACAACTTGTGAGTGGTAGTGTGCACTTCGGAAGATAAAGCACCCACAGATCTCCTTGCTTAGCAGAATACAGTTCTCCCTACAGGCTGGCGCTGGGCAGTCTCTCTGAAATGGGCACCTTCGGCAACTCAATGGCTTCACACTTTGCTTTGGCCAATGGCAGCCTCAACCTCGTTCTCCTCTTCTTTGTCATGGACTGGGATGTAACCACCTTCTCGAGGCAAGCACCAGCACCAGCCAGCCCCCGTGAGGTCCAGAGCGGCAAAATTGAAGTTACTCCACTCGAGTTGCTTGAAATCCACAGTGTCCATCTGGGAATGAATCTCGTTGAGCTTCTGCCAATGTAGCCAGGCCATCACCAAGCCTATGACCTGCAAGAAGAAAGGGGAGTCATGTAAGTGATCTTAGACATCTTAGAATGCGGCTGTCTTGCCTACAGGCTGGCTGCATTTTCCTTGTCTTGGCCAAACTTGTGGGGAAACCAACTGCAACACCTCCACCACTGCCAGGTTTACCTCCGTGGTGCAGCAGAACGGAAGGCAATCTGGTGCTCAGTGGCTCCATTTTTGGGCGCACTTAGAAGCTGATTTTCCTAGTCTCAGTGGGTAATAAAGATCTAACATTCCCGTTGCGCAAATGACTCTTTGTCATTTCAAGTCATGGTGACACCACAGAAACGGAGGTCCTGCCCATATTTGAGAATTGCATCCCCTGGTAATTAAGGCCATACCTTGGGGTCCTTTCTCTCTTGTGGCTCTTTTTTTTTTTTTAATAATAACTTTATAGTTATTATAAAACTTTATAAAAGAAACACAGTAAAAACTAACAAGAACTAATATTGAAAGAGAAAATAAGAGAAAGAAAAAAGAAAACTAGAAAAAAGAGATGGTAGAGATTGAAAGTGCAGAAAGCAAAGAAAGAAAAAGAAAAAAGAAAAGAAAAGAAAAAGAACTGACTTCTGACCCTTCTTGCAACAGATACGTAACAATATACATAACTCTTGTTCTAAATTCACAAATCACTTCCATTATTTCTATTAATCCATATTATTTCTAATCATCAAATCCATACAACACAGTTTCATTTTTGCCTGTTTCCTGCAAGGTCCAAAAAAGGTTATAAAAACCTTACAGTTGTTAGTATAAGAACAAACAACAAATATATTTTAACTGTAATCAAAAATAGATCCATGTTATGATCCAACTTATTTTCTCTAAAAAAAAAAAAAAGCCCATTATACACAAATCGTTAAAACCCCATCATTCAATCCCGGTCACAAGAAAATGCCATTAATAGCTACCAAAAGCCTCAACATATATATTAACCATAGTCAAATAAGTTTACTTTTTAAACTTTTTTTTTTACTTGGAAAAAGCTAGATCTTTAATCATTTCCAATAATATCCCCCGAACTGATGTCTGATCACTTTCTGTTTGTCTCTCAAATACAGATTTCCCGATGTCACACCTTCCCTTTGAAAATCCAGGATAAACAGTCTGGATTTCCACGCTCCTGTTTCATTATTTTTATGTCCCCTTGCATCATTATATCATCAGCTGGTTTTAGTCGTGTCCCTTTTGGCTTCTTTTTCCATGTCAAGCTTCTTGTGTCTCAGCTCCGGCAAGGCCACATTTTCTAACCCTTTCTCCAGTTCAGGGTCTCTGCTCTCTGCTTTGCTCTCCACCACTTCCACGCCTTCAGTGACCTGCTTCCCTTCTCCAGCTATTTGCGTCACATCCTGTCTGCTCTTTCTTCCATTTTCCCCCAAAGTTGCAAATCTGGCCCCTAATTCATCAAACCTTTGTTTAAGCAAATTTAAAGTGACCATTTCGTTTAGTGTTTTCCACATGCCGTACTCTCTTTATTTTTTCTTCCCCTTTACATCAAATATATTAAACGTACGTGAAAGTAAGCAGGCAGTTCGCGCTAGAATTGCAGGCAAACATCGAGGGAAGCGCAGAGGGAGCGGGTTACGGCCTTCCCTTTTAAAAACCCAGCCAATCCAAAACATCATCTAAAAAACAGAAGACTTTCTTGTGGAAAAATCAAATGGATTTCTGTACAAAATCTTTCTTACAAATGGAACTTTGTATAGAAAAGAAAAAAAAGCAAATAAATCTTCTCTGTGCACTGTAAATCTTTCAAAATCCAACTTTCATCCAGCTTTTTGCGAACTGTTCAAAGTCAAATAAAACTCAGCCTCTACTTTTAAAAATATAGCCCCAAAAATAAGGATAAACCCCAAGAGATCCACTTATCTGTGGCAAAGGAAGGTCTCAGACTGAAAAATAATCAGAGTCCAAAGCGTTCAGAAAGGGGGTTGGGCGGCTCTAGTGCCCATAAGACGGCCGCGCTGCAGCTCCGGGCGAGGATGGACCCGCCGCCTGCCGGCTGCTTACCCGGAAAGCGACCGGCTTTTGAGGAGCGGCCGTCGCTCTCGCGGCTCTCTCGGCTACAGCTCCGGGCCCGCTTTTAATGCCACGATACATGCGGGTCTGCTTTCCCCATTGTTTGGGGTTTGCGCAATTACATCAAGGTACACAATGGGAGAGAACAGTGGCAGAGGCAGGAAGGAGCCAGAGAGAGAAGGGAAAACGTGGACAGGTGACCTTCCTCCCCGCCCCCCCCAGGCGATCCTCAGACAATGCACATAAAGCTTCTCATAGATATTGTGTGAGACTGGGACCAGACAGTGCAGTGAGCTTCATGAACGTGCTCCAAAGCCAGGCCGCTCCTCCACTGGTTATGCATTTATTTGACTTCTTTTTCTCCAAGAGTTTTAGTAGGTTTGCAGCGGGATCTCCCTTCTTGTTATCCCCCTTCATCACAAAGTATAAACAATTTTAGTAACTGATCACCTCCTCTTAAGATACAACAAATAATCTCTTCTTTTCTTTTTCTCCAAGAGTTTTAGTAGGTTTGCAGCGGGATCTCCCTTCTTGTTATCCCCCTTCATCACAAAGTATAAACAATTTTAGTAACTGATCACCTCCTCTTAAGATACAACAAATAATCTCTTCTTTCCATATCCCATCTCTTATCTATAAGCAAATCCTTAAAGCCTCATCATTTCAGTCCTGGTGCCAGCAAAAGTTCATTAAGGGTTACCAGAGATAACAACATATCTATTTTAATCTTAATCAAATAAACCAACTTTATATTCCTTCCTTTTACTTCTAATAATCTTGATCTTTAATCCCTTCAAATAATGTCCTAGCACTTGATTTCTTTTCAGTTTTTCTTTTTCTCTTCTTGCAAAATTCTTCAAAACAGGTCGCTTTTGTAAATCCAATATAGGAAAGTTATCCAGGTTGCTGTTTTGGTTTATTTGAATATCAGCTGGTTTGTATATCCAATGTAGCATCTTTTTCCATATCATTCTTGTAGCCTGACATTTTTAAATCCACTTTCAAGTCAGTTGTGTCCTGTATAACTTGTTCCTCTTCTATAACATCTTTTAAATACAGTCTTATATAGAGAGAGAGAGACAGTCTTAAAATTAACTTCTGGGTCCATTGTTCACAAATACTTATTTATGCAATTTCTATAGCCACCCAACTCAATCCAAGTGACAATCCATTGGACAAATACGTCTAATGTTAAAGTATTTTGCTTCATTCTGTATTAGTAAGTCAAATTTAAGTATTATTCCCCTTGAAATGTAATCTTTAGTTCCTTCTGGTTCCCTCTAGTGTCCAACCTTCAAAGTCCCATCCTATCATGTTTTTTTTTAAAGAATTCAAAACAACAACATTTTCCCATGGGAAGGTTTCTTATAACTAATTTCAAAATCTTATATCAAATACATCTGGACTCTTAGTCTTTTACACTTTTCAAAATCAGCAGCTCCTGTGCAGTGGAACACCTGGACCAAAGTTAGCAGAAGCTCTGGAAGCTGCACTCATGATTGTCCTGCAAGTGTCCTATGACACAAAATTCTGCAATGCCCAACTAGAACACTGAGCCATAAATGACGCATTTGCACGAGGGATGGGGCTGGAAGACCAACCAACAACTTGCCCTAATTTGGAGCCATCCAGATGCAGAGGGACTGTGAGTTGTAGAGTTTCAAGGCAGATGGTAGTGTAGCCACACACACACACATACCCCAGGCTAGGCAAAGCAAGACTTCTGCTGCCCTCTCCAGGGATGGTGGCTTTGGGTGATGGACAGGAGAAGAAAACTTCCTGGGACCAGTTTAATATCTATGGACTGAGAAAGATAAGCAAACCAATTGCAGGAGAGAACTTACTGGTTGGAAGGAGTGTATTGATTTTCATCAAACCTGAATTGAAGATGCATGGCTCAGAGAAACAGAAAGGGATAATTACAGAGAGTCTCCATTCCAGCTGAAGACTCCATCTGGAACCCTCTCATGCTGCACATAAGTGAAAGCCCCATTCCTTGCCATGAGCCTTTCAATGGAGGGAGGGAGGGTGGCCCACCAGAGAGTCTGGAAGGAGTCCTGGAGTGAACCACATTATGCACAGGAGGATTTTGAGCATGGCAAGCCATGGACTAGGAAGTTAAGGCTACTAATTTGGTCTACAAAACTCTGGATGACCCTTAGGAAGCAGCCAAGAAATAGACAACTCTAACCCATTTCTGCAATCTACTGATTTGCAATTTGTTCTGGCAAACCCACCAGAAAAGACCAAGGTTTGATTGACAGAGATCTTTCTCACTATGACATGACTGATTAAATGTACAGAAATTGATATATGAATGATTTCATCTATGAATGAATGAAAGAAAACTTAACTCATATTTCATCCCTTTCAGAGGATGCACTGAAGAGGTGACATTCAGAGAAAGGCATCTCCTTCCTTCAGCAGGAAAGAAGGAACTGTCAGCTGCTGTTTTTGGAAGCACTTGCATGGAAAGCGTTTAGAAATTGTTTTCTAGTTAATGAGACCAACCTTTTTATTCCAGTCAAAAACTTTTAATTCAATTAATCTAATGGGCAGAAGTCAGATGGGGTATCTTCTGTTCTAGCACAGAATCTGTGTTCTCCAGGTTCTTTGGCTGATCCTGGGAAGCATCCAGTGAGTCAGGGCCCTCCTCTCCCGGGCAGTTGCTAGGGCATAGGCAGGGTGGCAATTATTGGGCACTGATTGTAAGGGGAGTCTTGGAAGAAGACAAAATATTTACTGCCAGTCTGGGAGGGGAGTGATGTCTAAGGCCATTTCCACACTAGTAGCTTAGAGCATCTTCACAGCATCATTTGGCCATCATTGAAGTGATATAAAACCTGTCCTTGTTATTGTTAGAAGACAATCTAGAAGACGCCAGACGTTGCTGGTGGGCAAAGGGCCAAAGTCTGTTCCTCTCCTTCATACCAGCTACAGCATTTGGAAAGATCCCACCCCAG